ATATATAGACTGTATTTCACACAAGAAATGAGTTTTGTAGGCTACAGCATTACAGTGCAATGAAGTAAGAAAGATAAAAAGATATGATCTCCAATTCAGACTTAGAAGAGAGTCATACATATATATTAAGGTCAAGCCTGAAGTTAAAGAATGTTTGCCCGCACCCTTCATATATACAAAACAGGAATTTCAGATATGAAGTTACTTCCAGCGGTCACAAATAGGTAGTTAATGTGAGCTAAAACCATGGTGAACTTACTTCATTATTGTTCATAAAAGCAAAAGGAACTAGGAATCAAGTCACAGACGTATATTCTACAGAATTACTAAGTATTTGCTGAGAATCAACAAAATTTTTGCTCAGATGGTTTAAAGTCTTAACTATGAACTAAAAATACACCAAGAAGCTACTTCCTTATGGCCAGAGCTACATAGACTTGGAAATACAAAACAAGTCAAAGCTAAGCACAAATAAAAATACTTCCCAAAGATATAAGAATGAGACTATTAATTTTCACTTCATTAGCCCCAATTCTAACTTCAAATAAGAAATAGAGATAAGGAGCTAGAGAGATGGTTCAGCAGTTAAGAGCACTGCCTGCTCTTGCAGAGGACCTGGGTTTGATTCCCAGCACACACATGGCAGCTAACAACCATCCATAACTCCAGTTCCAGGGGATATGATGACCTCTTCTGACCTCCCGTGGGCATTACATGACACAGGTGTACTTACATACATGCAGGCACTACACTCATACACATAAAATATTATGTTTTTTTAAAAAGAAATAAAGTTCTAAATATAACATTAGCCTAAAGTTAGTTTCTTGAGCATTTTCTATGCTGGCACTTTGCACATGACTGGACTTAATCCTCAGTGCATGACTATGAGGGCCTAATAGCTAGGGGGGCTGGAGAGATGGCTCAGCAGGTAAGGGTATGGACTGCTCTTGCAAAGGTCCCAGGTTCAATTCCCAGCTCCCACATGGCAGCTAATAACTGTCTGTAACTCCAATTCCAGGGGATCAGATACCCTCTTCTGACCTCTGCGTGCACTGCACAACATGGATGCACTTACACACATGCAGGCAATACACTCAAACACATAAATTATTAATTTTTTTTTTTAAAAAAGGGAATGCTGGGCATGGTGGCACATGCCTTTAATCCCAGCACTTGTGAGGCAGTGGCAGGCAGATCACTGAGTTCAAGGCCAGCCTGGTCTACATAGCTACTTCTAGGTCAGCTGGAGCTACAGGGAGACCCCGTCTCAAAAAGACAGAAACAAGGTAACAGAGGCTAGACAAATGATTCAACAATTAAAGAGTACTTGCTATACTATTCATATGGACTGAAGTTCAGATCCCTGCACCTACATGACAGGTCAGGCTTGCCTATAACCCAGGCTCAGAGGACGGTAGAGACAGAAACTCAACGGGACTTGCTGACTTCCAGCTTAGGCAAGAAAACAGGAACCCTAGGTTTGGGGAAATACTCTGCCTCTAAAGAATGGGTGGAAAGTGATAGGGGAGGACACTCAACACCCTGGTCTCTGTACCCACATGCACAACCATACACATGTATATACATACAAATGCACACCCACACAAATAAATCCTAAAAAGAGAAAGGGAATTGACTTTAAACAACCTATCAAGGACACATTGAAGAATGGTGAAGCCAAGTATCAATTAAGATCATCTAAATACAGAACCAACAATTTATGGTATAGTATATAGCCATGCCAAGGATAGTTGCTGGGGGGGGGGGTTGTTCATCCCCTCTATACTGTAGGTTGTTTAGCAGCATCCCACTAGATGTCAGGAACACTACTCTTCCCCAAAATTTCAAATAATCAAAAATGTCCCCAGATATGCCATAGTAGGCAAAATCACCTACTACCATGAGAACCACTCCACTGCATTCCACCTCTTCAAACCCAGGGATGCAGCTTGGTAGTAGAGGGCCTGCCTAGTATGTGCAGAGTCCTGGATTCAGTACCACCTCCACCAAAAACAGGAAAAGAAAAAAAAAACTCTTTAAGACTTTAAATAGTCACAAAATCTTTCTGTTGATAACACAGAAGTCAAATAAATTCACAATTGAAAAGATAGTGCTGGGGGGGGAGGGCTGGAGAGATGGCTCAGAGGTTAAGAACACTGACTGTACTTGCAGAAGACCCGGGTTCGAATTCCAGCACCCACATGGCAGCTAAAAACTGTCTGTAACTCCAGTTCCAAGGGCTCTGACAGCCTCTTCTGTCCTCTGTGGGCATTGCACAACACGGGTGCACTTACCTACATGCAGGCAATACATGCATACACATAAAAATATAAATAAACTATTAAAAAAAGGATAGTGCTGGGATTTGTGAAAACATCAACCATTTTTCTCCCCAACTTATATACTAGTTGAAAGATTTTATATATATGAATTCAACAGGAATCAAAAGAGCTGTTTATTGGGTTGGGCATGATGGTGCACACCTGTAATCCCAGCACTCTAAAGGCAGAGGCAGGCAGATGTCTGTGAGATGGAGGCCAGCCAGGGTTGTATAGTAAGATCTATCTCAAAAAACAAAAACAGGGGCTAGAGAGCTGGCTCAGCAGTTAAGAGCACTGGCTGCTCTTGCAGAAGACCTGGGTTCGGTTCCCAGCACCCACATAGTGGCTAATCATCTATAACTCCAGAGAATCTGGCACCCTCTTCTGATCTCTGTGGTCACTGCACAACACGGGTGGACTTACATACACATGCAGCCAACACATTCATACACATAAAATAATTGCTGGGCATGGTAGCGCACGCCTTTAATCCCAGCACTTGGGAGGCAGAGGTAGGCGGACAAAAATAAATAAATAAATAAATAAATAAATAAATAAATAAATATTTAAATATTTAGAAAATATATATTTTTTTAAGACAGGGTCTCCCTGTAGCTCTGGCTGGCCTGGAATTCACTCTGTAGACCAGGCTGGCCTTGAACTCACAGAGGTCCACCTGCCTCTGCCTCCCAAGTGCTGGGATTAAAGGCATACACCCCCACGCCATAAAAACAAAAAGAGCTGTCTACTGCCAGTCAAGTTGGACTATGAGACTATATGCAAATACAAGGAAAAACATCCAGACCAGTGAAGAGTGGAAAAGCAAAGTCTTTTCATTATCATTATTCAGAAACCTTCCCGCCAGAGGGGCTGATTCAGTTGGTAAAGAACCTATGCAAGCATGAGGACCTGAGTTTGGATCCCCAATACTCACATGAAGGCCAAGTACATCATGTGCCTATAACTCCAAGTGGGGGGAAGGGGCAAAGACATGCAGCAGATCCCTAGAGCTCATTGGTCAGCCAGTCTAGCTGAATTGGAGTATTATGCCAGGTTAAGTGAGAAACATTTTCTCAAAAAATAAACCAGGTGTGGTAACATATGCCTTTAATCCCAGCCTGGTCTATACAGCAAGTTCTAGGTCAGTTGGAGACTATCCTCTCAAAAACAAAACATGATCCAAGTCTTTTCCTTTTTTTAAAGACAGAGTTTCATGTAGACTAGGCTGGCCTCAAACCTGACAGTAGATGAGGATGACCTGCCCCATGCTAGAATTATAGCCATGTGCCACTACTATCCCTAACACTACAGTTTATGTACTGTTATCCCAGTTGATATAGTGTTAGGGATAGAACTCAGGGCTTTGTGCATGGTAGACAAGCACTCTTATCTACTCTGTGCTACATGCTCAGTCTAGGTCCTTTGTTCTTTTGAGGGTCACTATATAGCCCTGGCTAACTACCCTGACCTCTTGACATTAGCCTGCTTCTGAAGTGCTAAGATTAAAGGCATGTGCCATGATGCCCAGCTAGATATATTTATTTTCAATATTTGCATAACAGTGGTAATCCTGTACTTCTTAATGCTTCCCTATTTCTACTCCAAGACTTACCTGCTAATCAATCTGGGTTTGTTTTCTTTTCCCTTTTTTATTTCCTTTGGAGACAGGGTCTCACTGTGTATCCCTGGATGGCCTGGAGCTTGCTATGTAGAGCAGGCTGGCCTCAAACTCACAGAAATCCTCCTGCTTCTGCCTCTTGAGTGCTGAGGTTAAAGGTATGTATCACCAAGGACAGACTGTTCTTGATTCTTTTGAGACAGAGTCTCACTCTTACTGTAGGCTGACCTGGAACTTGTGGCAGTCTTCCTGCCTCAGCCATTCAGGTGCTGGGCTTACAGGTGTGAACCAATACACCCAGCCAGCTAACTATTCCTGAAAGATTCTTTCCAAACAAAGTTCATTGAAGTATGTGGACCACATTTCTTAGAAAGGAAGAAAGGAGTGTCAGGATGGGCAAGGGAGGCACAGACTCAAGAAAACCAGAAAGACTACTACATTTGTATAAAGTGTGGGTACATTAGAAGGTAAGAGTTAAAACACTATGTAGACCACCAAAGTAAAATTGTGGGATCCCCTTCCTTAGTGATGGTGCTGGGGATGGAACCCAGGACCCCAAACATACTAGGAATCAAAAGAATATCTTTAAAAATGGTTCATTGAGAATCCAATTGCCATGCCTTGGAAAATTCAGGAAATCAAGAACTTTGTGCTCACAGACAGGTGAAAGGATGCCAAATCCCTCAAGATCAAGAAAAAACAAGGTTAACATAAAGTTCAAAGTCCAGTGGAGTAGGTACCCATACATATATCCTGGTCATCACAGACAAGGACAAGGTAGAGAAGGTGAAGCAGTCCCTGCCCCCTGGTTTGGCAGTGAAGGAGCTGAAATGAATCTGACCCCTTCATCTGGAGAATTAAAAATCCTCAAAACCTAAAAAATAAACATAAAAAATAATAAAACAGCCGGACGTGGTGGTGCACACCTTTAATCCCAGCACTTGGGAGGCAGAGGCTGGTGGATCTCTATGAGTTCAAGGCCAGCCTGGTCTACATAGTGAGTTCCAGGACAGCTGGGGCTACAGGGAGACCCTGTTTCAAAAAGACAAAAAAATAAAACAAAATGGTTCACTGAAAATAAGTCAGCTAACAGCTTCTATATACTGACTACGACTAAATTCGATTTTTGAAGGTTTGATAAAATTTGCCCACCCTGAAGTTGGCTTACTATGACTGTTTAACTCAAGTCTTTCAGTAAGCTGTTCTTTAATAAAGCAATCCCATCTCGTGTTGACTGTGACAGTTATTCCTGCTAGCACAGAACTATTTTTAGTCACTTCACAAGGAATTTATAAAGCTTTGTAAACAGAGGAAATCTTCAAGAAACCCAAGTTGTTCGCCAAAGCTCTGATATCACAAATTCTCAGAGATCTGCATCATTTGGCTAACCATTTTATGTATGAGTTTATAATTCGAAATAGCGTGCTGGCGAGCCGCGGCAGTCGCTCTGACGGTGCAGGCCAGGCCAGCTGCCACGCACGCGGCCTCAGCAAGGGAAGTTTTGACGCTAAGGCAGAACGTCAATAGCGGCCTCCTTTGTCTTCTTTCCACTCCTTTACTGTGCCCGACAGCGCAGTCTCCCCAGGGCAGACTCCGTACCGACGTGAGGTGTTCACCATGGCTTTACCTGTTGTGTGCCAGGAAGCGACGATAAACGTCCTAGTCGGAGCAAGTTGGCCAGCCCGAGCGCCCACTCGGGAGAAGTCTGCGCGCCCCCCGCCGCCCCGGGACTTCCACCGAGCGCGACTCCGCGCCGCGGGCCCGCACCACCCGCGAGGCCGGCGGGCGCTCGGGACTAGGCCCGGGGATCCCGGCCGCGGAGAAGAAAGGAGCGCTGTCCCCGCGCCGCCGCGCCCCGCCCGCCGCCCCGCGCCCTACCTCGGCCGCTCGCTCGGAGCTCGGCCTCAGCGCGCCCAGGGGCTGCCCATCGGCGGGGGCGTCCCGCCCGCGCCGCTCGCTCCGGCAAATCCCGCTCGCGGGGCCCAGTCCACCGCAGACTGCCCGCAGCGGCAACGAGACCCACGCCAGGGCCCGACCTCCCACACGGCTCACCGCGGGGCCCCAGACGCGGGAGAACAGGCCGCCACAGCCCCGGAGTGCGAGGCAGCGTGCGCGAGCGCGCGAGGATCAAGCACACGCGCACGCACGCACGCTCATCGCGAGACCAGCTCTCCCGCCCGTGAGCATAAGCTGGTGAAGGGGACCGCGGCCAGGGTGCGCGTGCGCGGCGTGGTTTGGGCCTGAGTTGCCCAACCTCGGACCCGCTAGGTGGACTGTAGCTGAGCTGGAGGGTGCCGCCGAAGAGGCGTAATTTCCCTCCGTGAATTCATCACAGCCTGTGATGGTCGGGGCTTCTTACCAGTTTCTCAGAATGCAGAAGTACTAAATGATGCACTGAGGGTTTGATCCTGCTGTGTTCCACAGGCAACTTCTCCAACGTCTCTGTGTGCTAGGGAGCTTCCACACGTGGTAGAGACTCACTGTCTTACAGGTTCTCAGAGGTGGTTAGGGTGAGCTACCCGCTTCCAAACAAAATGGGAATATTCAAATGATAATGGATTAACACCCAGGCATAAGATATGTAATACTGAAATGAAAAGCATTGTTCTGTGGGACACCCTATAGTATTTAAGTTTGATTTAAATTCATAACTTCTCTAGGATTTGCTAGTCCTCATTCTGAGGGAGGCCAAGCTACTTGCCCAGTTAGTTTGTTCCTGTCTGACTCCATTTTGCTCATAACTTTTTCCTTCTGAGTCACTTTGTTGTAGAATTACCTTGGATTCATGAACAGCAGGTTCAATGGATAAATATCTTTATGTCAAGGGACTGGAATACTGACAGCAGTGGCAAGCCTCTTAATCACTCAATGATGATGAGATCAGGTCTCTCTGAGCGGGGCAATCACTTCTCGATGACTTTCCAGAGCTTCTGTAAGCATCACAGAACTAGTCCTGAGATGATTGATCTGAGATCAAGGCCTGAGCAAGATTACCTCATTTGTCAGCCATGCGAGACCCCAACCCTTTCTTTTATTCCCCTTCTCTAGAAAATCTCCAAGTTCCTGTCATCTCAGATCTGGAGTCACTGACAATCTCTTCTTCCTGTCTTTCACCACCGTCTCTTTGATTTGCATATTGGGACTTCCAGAACGGAGGTTTTTGCCTTACCAAGTCCAACCATCAAACTGGGCAGAGTGGGGACATAATCCCAGTACTTACTTCAGAGGTGGAAGCAGGAGGATCAGGAGTTCAAGACCTGCCTTAGCTATACATCTATTTCAAGACCAGCCTAGTTACATGAGAGCCTACCTCAAAAAAAAAAAAAAAAAGTATTGGGGTTAGAGTTGGAGAAATGGCTCAGCAGTTAAGAGCACTTGCTGCTCTTGCAGAGGACCCAGGTTCAATTCCCAGCACCCACATTGGGCAGCAGACAACCACTTGTAACTCCAGTTCCAGGGAATTTGATACCCTTTTCTGGCTTCTGTGAGTACCTACATACACCTGCACATTCAGACAAGCAGCCGCACACATAAATAAAAAATAATAAAAAGAGGACTGGTGAGATGGCTTTACAGGTAAAAACTACCTGTTACCAGACCTGACCACTGGAGTTTGACCCCTGGGGCATACTTGGTGGAAGGAGAGAACCAACTCCCACAAGATGTCCTCTGACATTCACATGCACCCCACAGTATGTACATAGACACGCATAAATAAAAATAAATAAATAAAATAAAATAACCAGTTCTACCAAAAAAAAGGATGGGACAAGCAGTAATTTGCTTACCAACTCTTCCTTGTATTTTAAGATTTCTGCTATATCAGTCACCACATGCAAACCCACTTAAAAAGGATTAGCTTCCTCAGTCCTTCATTCTGTAAGTTTCTAGCTCTTAGAACAGAAAGGGCCCTAGATACTGAAAATATACCTTATTAGGCAGTAAGAAGAGGAAGGAAAGATTGCTTGACTTTCTCTCCCCCCTCCCCTCCTCAATGAAGACTGAGGAAATGAACAGCCCTCTGCCAAATGCTGTCTTGCCTAGAAGAAAGGGAGATCAATTTTTCTGGGTGAAAAAAGGATAATCAAACACAACAAATAAAACAAGGAAACCCACTGAATCAGTCTATTGATGGGCTAGAAACCAAGATCAGCCACCCCTACTTGATGAGCTCCAGTAAGAACTCCGGAGCTACTCAGATGAAAAGGTGGAGTTTTCTGGCAGGGAGGGTTTTATAACAGGATTTTAAACATCATTCTAATCATCTATATAGAATACTAGAAATCAGGGCTGATTATGCTAGTGTAATTTATATATTTAAAAAATATTACTATGGGAAACTGTTAACACATGAATACAGATTCAAGAGTACATTAGGTAAACTGCCAAATTTTGTCTAAGTAGTTTGATTTCTCCTTTTATTTCCCCTTGAGATAGTCTCCCTATGTATCCATGACTCATCCTGACTAACTGGTGTATGCCTGGCTTGCCTCTTTTTTTTTAGAATATATTTATTATTCCAAAGAGAGGCAATTTTAAACACATTTTTCCAGAAGTAACTTGAAGCAGGTTACATAAAAGTATACATACAATGAAGTTTAAGGGTGGAAAAGTAGGGATAAGAAATCAAAGACTGGGCTGGAGAGATGGCTCAGCGGTTAAGAATACTGATTGTTCTTGCAGAAAACCCACTTGGAATCCGAGTACCCACATGGCAGCTAACAACTGTCAGTAACTCCAGTTCCAGGGGATCCGACAGTCTCTTCTATTCTCCATGGGTATTGCACGACACGGGTGCGCTTACCTACATGCAGACAACACACACATACACATAAAATAAAAATAATAGATTTTAAAAAGGAATCAAAGACCAAAGGATTTGCCAATAATGGGGGTCAACTTTGGTGGAATAATGAAGGTTTCCATTAGCTCTGGTTTTTGTTTTTCTTTTTTAAACCCTAACTAGTTTATTGGGCTTGCTAACAGAGCATGGGGGGGGGTTATTTACAGAAGAGTGTGTCTCCCCCCTCCCATTTACAGCTGCGCTGGAAAGTCCACATTGGAATATAGATCCTGTGACTTCCCGACAGCCACACAAAATGGCAAGAGAGGTGCTTTATGGCATTCTCCACTTATATGTCCTTAGCCCTTCTCCCACATGCAGCTAAGGTCAACTGATTCGGTGGGAGGGGTAACTGACTCCTCTCTTGACTCCTTAATGAGTGTGGGAAGGAGGTGTGACTATAGCTTGCTGGCATAGAAATGGGAGGACGCTTCCAGGTAACACTTTATCCCTTCTTCCAGTCCAGCTCTTACATTCTTTCAAATGGGCCAACCTCTTTCAAAAAAATTCCCTGAGCCTTGGAGGGGGTGGTAGGTGTGGGATGATCTTCCTCCCATTGTGGCAAGGCACTGAACTTTCGGGTCTCTGCATCATTGTTTTCTATGGGCTGTTGGCACATTTCAGTGGGATTCCATCTACTATAAAAACAGAAACATCAGCTGGGCGTGGTGGCACACACCTATAGTCCCCGCACTTGGAAGGCAGAGGCAGGCAGATCTCTGTGAGTTCAAGGCCAGCCTGTTCTACATAGTGAGTTCCAGGACAGCTGGGGCTTACAGGGAGATCCTGCTTCAAAAACACCAAAAAAAAAACCCCCCCCCAACCCCCCCCCCCAAACATCATGAAGCAAGAACAACAGTGGCTTCTATAATAACCTATGCTTGGTTAAGTACTTTATGCTTGGACAGTACTTTAGTAAGTGCATCACATCCATCTAATAAAAACAATTGCAGTGGCTTCCCCACTGGGGCCTATAGCCTCCTCTGCCACAAGGGGTTGGCCTGGTCTACAGTACCAGAAGTGTGTTCCACACCTAGGAGCAGGCATTATATCCAATCAAAAATTTGCTGGTTGTACATACACTAGACGCACCACTATTGCACCAGCAGGAACATCTTGTTTGGTATGCTGACAGCGCAGCACGCAAGGTCCGTTGTTGAGCAGAATTATAGGGGACAATTCTCCCCCATTGCTTTTTTTTTTAACATACGTACGTGTGTGTGTGTGTGTGTGTGTGTGTGTGTGTGTGTGTGTGTGTGTGGAGGTGTTGAGACAGGGTCTCATGCAGCCCATGCTGGCCCTTGAATTTCCTGTAGTTTATACTCTTGATTCTCCTTGACTTCCTGAGTGCAAGGATTACAGGCATGTGCTACCATGTTATGCAAGAACTCTACAAAGTGAGCTACAGCCATACTCCCCCTTTTATTCATACAACAGGGTCTCATTACATGGACCATGTTGGTCTCAAACTCACTATCCTAGACTGCCTTTGAACTCATAATACTCCTGCCTTGCGCTGGGATTATAGATGTGCAGCACACTAGGATTTTTTTTAAATACAGCATTCCCATACTATTTCATGACTATTCTATAACCATAACTCTGAATGGCATATATTCATTATAACACATAACAGTTCATAAAAAGGTTAAGTGATTTACAAGTTCAGTGACAGGGCAGTCAAAATAACAGAGGAAGTCAGACACTCCTGGGCCTGAATGTCTTTCTGCCACTTGTTTCCGATGCTATCCTGGGAAATTCACAACTCTTCCACATGTATGAAATGAAGACAATGTCTTTCTTGTAGAGCTGTGACATTAAAGCAGCTAATTGGTCCACTGAGAGTGCTCCTCAATAGTTAGCAGTCCATAATAGAATTCTATTTTAAATTTAAAAAATACATATTTTATTTTTTTTTACAGTCAATGAAAGTCTCATTTTCTTGTAAAAATACAAGTTTTTAAAGCATCATCCAGACTTTTGGCAAGAAAATGAGCTCCCAAGGGACGTTCCTCGAATTCTCTACTGAGAACAGTATCAATTCTGTCCTTTAATGATTGATTCTTCTCAGGAATGGAGAACCAGGTTTTCCTACCCATAATCACCAGATTCTGTTTACCTTGTACTGAAGAGGTTGTGGTCATTCTTTGGAAGTACTTGACCTCGTTCCTGAGCAGGAGCCAGGGCAGGATCCTGTTCTTGCCGATGCCCATGTTCTGGGCACGGCAACAATGCAGTTTAGCAGACGAACCATCACAGCAGCAGCTTTCACCTCCTTGCCAGCTCTGAACACCAAACA